TGCCAAATATTGTTGCTTTTGCAGGCATAAAATCCTAATAATGTCTCTTTTTAGGTTTAACCCATTTAACGAAAACTAACTTTGTTCTGAGTAGAATACAGTTAACTTTGCTTAACCACATAAAATAAGTAAATTATATCATATACATCTGTGCAGATTTTTGTACCTGTGTTCAAATGTAAAATCATACAAAATTAAATGTGGTTTTACTATCATATGCAGTAAGGTATTAGTGTTAATTGAAAACAAACCTCATTCAGTTCAAAAAGATAACAATAATATATTGCTGGACCAGATCATCTTCTAGAAAATGCTTATGCCATTTCTGATTTAGCTAAAAAACTGAATATGTACACAATTTTATATCCTGTCCAAATAGCTTTACTTTGATTGTCCTTATTTCCTTATTTGCTTTCATATAACTCCATTACATATTTTTTAGAATATATCCTAAAATCAGTACAGTATAGGACACTCTGATTCTTGTGGTGGACTTAGTGGACTTTCTGCTGTATAATACAGTAGTACTCCTAAATGTTCAGGCTATAGCATTTTTCATGCCTAATGAAATACTTTATGTTTTATTAAGATTTTAAATCATAACTTATTGTGATGGTTTCTTATTTTTATGAACATGGAAGTGACAGAATTCATTATTTTGCTAATAAGTTCTCTTAAAACTCATTCTTTTGATTCCATTTCTTAGGTCTATAAAGTGCTTATCTAAAATGAAAAGCTATTGGCACCCCTGGGTGGCTCAGTTGGTTAAGTGTAGACTCTTGATTTTGGCTCGGGTCATGATCTAACAGTTTTGTGCGTTTGACCCCCATGTTGGGCTCTGTGTTGACAGTTCAGAGCTTGCTTAGGATTCTCTCTTTCTCTGCCCCTACCCTGTATGTTTTCTCTCGCTCTCAAAATAAATGAACTTTAAAAAAATCAACTGAGAAGCTGTGTACAAAAATAACTGGAATATCTATGTGATTATTTTATTGAATATTTCTCTTTAGGAAATAATGCTATAAATATTTTATTTCATTGTACGCATTAAAAGTCTAAATATATTTTATTGTCTTTTTTTCCTTGATGTATCACTTAGCTGCAAGAAAGCTAGATTTTGAGTAATCTTTCTTTCCAAATAATTGGAATCACCTACTACCAAATGTTGTTTCTTCTTTATTGAATTCTTTGGTAATTGTTCTTAGTACAAGACTGTGGAAAAAATAGCTGAATGTGTTATATTCCTCACCATGTTTTCATAAATTTATAGCCACTTCTGAAAGAGTTAGAACACTGGTTACAAACAGAATTTCTTAAGACTTCATATCTCTTCACTAACATATACTATACAGTAACACATTATTCCATTGTCTATCAGATGATACTATTAAATCACTATAAAGTTAAAATTATAAAATTTAGCTCAACACAAAATGCTTAGGATTATTAGCCTGTATTAATAGTTATTAACTACTTAAAAAAGATGACTTTAAAAACTTCTTCACTCTCAAAGGTCAAAGTCTATTAGGTAAATGTTTGCAAATTTGGAAACATTTGTGGTAACAGTAATATGCTATGTGTTTTTCTTCTAAAGTTAGTTTTGTATTTGATTTGAAAATTGAGAGAAATTGGAGAAAAACTATAATGCACCATCTTCCCACCTTAGCACAAACATTATTGGTATTTATTTCAGCAACTTTCAGGTTTGTTCCCAGCCATATGCTTAGCTACATGCATAGTGTGCAGATAGTTTATACCTGGATTTCCATTAATGTTTTATCAAATACAACTATACACACCTCAGAATCTTTAAACTGTGTGGACAAGTCCACAAAGTGTATTTGCTATAATTTATTTACCATTTTCTTCTTGTCACAAAAGTTTTGAATTTCTATCACTATCACAGTATATTGAAATCCTTCTTCCAGATTTTGAAATGTTTCCTTATAAATATGTTTCAAGAAAGAGATTTCTGAAACAACTAGAATAGTCACTGAAAATGACTCTTGGTTCCTATGCTAAATTTCTTTCTAAAGAGTTTGTTACAATAAATCCAGTAATATGTTTTATCAAATACGCCAAGTACATTTTAACAAACAAACAAAAAATCCTTTAGTGTTGTTTGTAAAATATAATATCCTCAGTTTACATGCCTACTTTCTAATAAGTATAATGAATTATTTAACTTTGAACACATAATTATATATTATTACATTTAAAGCATTATTAGATCTCTAAAATAACATTTTCAATGTGAATAGAGCCTATCTATTAAAATAGGTGATCTTTTGTAAATTGTGATTTTGTAAGATGATCATATTTAGGACATTAGGTAAACTGAGTACAAATGTGTTACCATCTCTTGATGGTACCACACCAGCTCTTAATTTTAATATCGTGTTTTATCTTCCCTTTCTCTGTGCAAACATCTTCCCCACTAACCTAAATGTAAAATATAAAACAGATTTAATACTCATCCAGAACCACAGTATTTTAAATATGAATTTCACAAACTGCTGATACTTTGAAATGCATCAAACAGAAACAACAGAAATTTATACTTCATGATAATTACCTTGAAGTTACAAATTATTCACCTAATAAAGGAGTGAAAAGTATATCTGTTGTTTTTCAGGTTGCAGATGTATTGAGTATAACATACAACTAAGGCTATTTGCAAAGGGCATGATCAGTTCGCAGACAAACCAAGACAAACTGGGGTTTAAATGCTTGCAGCACTGAGCAGTTTACTTAAATCCTCATCTGTTTCATCTGTCAAGTGAATATAGTAATGAGAATATTTCATTCTTTTTTGATTATTAAAGAGATGATACATGCCTGCATAATAAATTCTCAAAATGGAAGCTATCATATGAACACTCTGGGTTTAATTTCTCTCTTGAACTTCATTGTTCCATTTACTTAACCATCTACATTTCATCAGACAATCTAGACTAGACTCTACCAAAATGAAGCACTGTCACCTAGTTGATTTATACTTTTTAAATATAGCACTGATAAATACCAAAAACAGACACAAGTTCCTAAAATGATCTGCATCAGTGAATATGATTTACAGCAAATTAGTTATTATGGGCTCAAGTATACTAAGGTACTCAGATAATTTTACAAAGCACAGCCACATAGACAGGAATAAGGATGATGTGGTTGGATGTGCTGGAGAGGAGCATCTGCATGTCTTCTAATATTTTTTAAAAAAATTTTTAACGTTTTATTTATTTATGAGAGAGAGAGAGAGAGACAGAGAGAGCGTGAGCAGGGAAGGGTCAGAGAGAGAGGGAGACACAGAATCTGAAACAGGCTCCAGGCTATGAGCTAGCTGTCAGCACAGAGCCTGACACGGGGCTCGAACCCACAAGCCGTGAGATCATGACCTGAGCTGAAGTTGGGTGCTTAACTGACTGAGCCACCCAGGCGCACTGTCCCCTCATATTTGTATCCTAAGAATTAAAGTAGCATGCTTCATATTTCAACGGTATCGTTCTAAAGACACAGTTTGTCTTTACAATTTGGAAAGTTCTTCCTGACCAATAATATTAGTTAATGAATTTTAAATATTCTGAGTAACTTTAAATTTAATCATACTTTGCCACCAGTATATGGAGAATGTATCTTTTAAAAAGGTTATTATTTAATAACATGTATGACTATGGTAGAGTGAAAAGATCCTTAATATTATTAATATTATGATAAAATATTTTCACTTTATAATTTCAATTTTTAAAATAAATATTTAGGTGGTTCCAAAATAAGAACCCTTATCTCTAACCAGTGAGTCACCTAAAATTTGTAAAACATATAATATTCGTAAAATAGTGAAGCCTAAGAAAGCCTTGCTTTCACCAAAATAGGATATTAAAATGCTACTTTGAATAACGTAAATCTTAAATGAATGCCTGAGAAGAATTTTTAAAAGGCAATTAAATCTGGGGGAAGAAAGGCAAAGGGAATTAGAGAGCCAAAATCCCTTGTATTTTGAATGTACTTCTGTGTATGACTTGGACCTCAGTGGAGCTTGTGAACCATTAACTTCAATTACACTGAAAACCCCAAACAAACCCCGGGCACTGTAAATCTCATTAATTTTAAACACATGGGGACTGAAATAAATGGACTTTGAATTAACTCAATCCAAATTACCTAATATTAAAATATAATTGGAATTCAGTTGCTTTAAACTGCTTGCCAGTCTTAAAGGCAGAATAGATTGCAATACTAAGGTTTGTTATAATTCTATCTGCTTTTGAAGTTTTAGAATAATATCTTTCTAAGTGAGGTATGATTCCAAAATTGGGAAAATAAAGGAATTTCCACTGATATTTCCATATATTTCCTTAAAGTTGGAGGACATTTTAACAAATTTCAGCTCTAGAAGAGGGAAATTTTACCATGAGTTGGTTAAACTAGATACTAAATTCCAAACTTAAGTATCAACTACTAAATATCCCTGATAATCTATTATTTTCAGTAAAATTATAATTTCCGTATTTGTAGGCTTCATAGTATAATCTTTCCTATAGTGGTGAGGCAAAGTATGATTTTAATATCAACTTAGCAATACAAAAAATATTATAAAAGGAATAAGAAAATGTAAATAAGTAATAAGAGTAAAAAAAAAACGTATTGCTAAAATGAGATCAGATATTCCAAAAAGAAAGATAAACTATTTTGAAAAAGCCTGCCACTTTTTTGAAGTCTTGTATCATTAACCCCATACACTTATAAAGTCACTGTATGAAAGCATTATTGTAATAACTTTGTGTTATTTGTATTAGCCTTTATAAAATCTGATTGTTAAATGTTTAAGAGCTGCATTTCATCAGGGCTCCAGTTATTAATCTTTTATTTATAAGTTAAAAAAAATCCTGTTAAGCCTAGAATAAATGTTCATGCATACTATGTCCCTCCAAGTTACATTTACAGAAAACTATTTAAGCCAATCCACCTTGAAAGGCCATGATATACACATGCAATGTTGATACCTGAGAAGAAATGTGCTTTGAAGCCCTTCTTGGAAACAGTATTGTCAGATCTGAATTCAATTCTCATATTGTTGAACTGAGATGTGATCACTTCAGGAACTTCGGCACCACAAAATTTGCCATGCAATTTAGACTCAGAGGAAAGGCCACTCCAAATCTCCACATAATCATATTTGCAAACCTAGAAAAAAGACAGTTATTATAGTCACCAGATTTTAAGAGTCTCATGTTTACCAACTGAGCTAGCGGAGCACTGTATAGTCTCCAGATTTTAAAGCGTCAGATGACTGACATTTATTTTTTAAAATTTTACTATTTTTTTTCTCTCTTTAGTCCTCTCGTAGTCAAACTAGATTTAATAGGTAAAGAAAAAATCAGGGAGCAGTCCAAACATGAGGCGGGTGCCGTGAAAAATAGACTAATGAATTGTACTCTGAATACTTATTTGTATATACAAATATGTGTTTGTTTATATGTATTTACAACATGTATTTTTTCCAAAGAATAGAGTTTAGGCGAACTGAGATGAATATTTGTTGTGATGATGATGCTCATGGTCACAAGAAGAATAACCTTTGCTGCCTTAAAAAATAATAATAAATGCTTAAATTTTCACTAGGAACTGTAAAAGAAGTTGTCATTTGCTGTCTTGTTTAATGCTGACAACAATTACATAAAACTGAACATTTAGGGGTGCCTCGGTGGCTCAGTAGGTTAAACGCCTGACTCGTGGTTTTGGCTCAGGTCATGATCTTACAGTTTGTGAGTTCCACCTTGGGATTCTGTCTCCATCTCTCACTGCCCTTCCCCTGTTTGCTCCCAATCTCTCTCTCAAAATAAATAAAAATAAACTTTAAAAAAGAAAAAGAAAAGAAATATTTTAAAAATTGATATTTAAGTCTCTGAAACAACTATTAACAACAGAAACATTCCTTTTTATTGTAAAGATATGAAAATTGAGGTTCAGAAATTTTTAAGTATCATGTCCAAAACCGTACTTATCATACGTGGCAGTTCAGTGAAAACAGCACAGAGTTTGGCTGGGTCCAGTGCTGTCTCCCAGAAACACGGTGTTCTAATCAGAAGAGTACTCACAGGAAATTTCAAAGGAAACAGACACTGGCATTACAAGAAAAAGGATACTCTGCCTTTCAAATTCATCAAATAAATTGATATTTCTTGATTTCTCTGAGTTACTAGGCACTCTAAAGTTACTCTGTAGCTATGCTGCAGGATTGCAAACAAATAAACTCTTATGTTGTGGAATGGAGAGGAGAATTTACACTAGAATACAATAGACTCATTCTGATTTATATGTAATGTACTAACACCAAAATGGAAGAAGCTACGTGAATGCCAGGTATTCTTAAGCAATTTTATGGCTATTCTAACAGATGTTTCCATAATACACTTCTCCAAAGTTCCAACAAGGCACATTCTAAAGAATATATCTTGCACCAATGACCTTATTTCATAAAGTATAATTAGCAAGGTTTAACAATGCATATGATTGAACTCTGGGGCACGATCTGTACTTTGCAATATGTCAACTCAAATTACTGTTTCTTGTGATATTAATTAGGTGATAAATAAACAAAAGATTGTTAGGAAAAATTTACAAGTTTTCTGTTTACTTCGTTACAACTTCAACCTCTGTTTAGAGAGGGCTCTGACAAGGAATAGGAGAATGTTACTAAGGTTAAAGTGGTTTTGACATATCTTTCCTTTGGATATCAATATAATGAATACAAAAACGGAGTTTCAACTTTGCCCGATATTCTGTAAGTCAAGTTTTTGCTCATGTCTTTATTTTAAGTAACCAAGACATCAAACCACAAAAATACACAGAACTCTAAAACAGCCTTCCACATAGTAACATCATTATAAGTTTAAGAAATTTGGGATATCTTCTAGAGTTTATAAAGGGTCTTTCCAGAAATAAAGAATACCACCCATGGGAAAAATGTCTTCAGAATACAATAACCCATTTATTTAAAACTTTCTATCCTCTATCCTCTTGAATATAAACTTCTAGCCTTCCTAGTAACATCTATCAACTAATGAATCAAAATGTCGTATCTGTTATAACTAATAGCTTTAGGGGACACTGAGGGAGTAGAAGTCATTCAACACTAAGTTCATATCACACCACAGAACTGGTAGGGAGATGATCATTTTCAAAAGGGGTTGCTCATATGAAAGCTTTTGTAAAATTGTTATAAAAACATTTTCTCCATTTCAATATTTCTCCAAATTTCAGGGAATTGTTAAAGGATAATGATATTTCATGTGAACAAAGCATGTCAGAAATATAAATGGCAGTTTTTGCCATCATAAAACATACACATGATATAAGGAAGGTCTCAAAAGAGATCAACTGAGCTCTAAAATTCTATCTATAATTTTCTGAAATATATATGTTATTCACATGTCATATTTTAATTTCTCTAAAGAGACACAAAAGTCAGGAACTTCTTCTTACCTCAAAGCCATTAGTAGAACTAAAAAAAATGCACACGAGTGCCTTGATGGACTACTATATGCAGAATTAAGAGAAAAAAAAGTGATTAAAAAGAAACAAAGGAAAACAAGGAATGGGGAGAAAACAAAGATACATACACAAAGATAAAATAATGGTATAAAAATCCCTAAATATCACCAACTATTATTGCCCAGGAGATAGATACAATATATTTCTGTTCTCTCACTTCTTTACAAGCGATCAACATATATGTTTCAGAGACAAAATAATTTTTGAGTTAATTTTATCATACTTAGAAGTTTTACATTTTTTTAAATGTTTTTATTTATTTCAGAGAGAGAGAGAGAGAGAGAGAGCGTGAGCAGGGGAGGGTCAGAGAGAGAGGGAGACACAGAATCTGAAACAGGCTCCAGGCTCTGAGTTAGCTGTCAGCACAGAGCCTGATGCAGGGCTCGAACCCACAAACCGTGAGATCATGACCTGAGCTGAAGTCGGGCACTTAACCGACTGAGCCACCCAGGGTCCCCCATACTTAGAAGTTTTAAATTATGTTTATTTTAAAATAAGCACAGGAGTCACTGGAATAAAGGATATGGGAGTTAGAAAAAGAAAAGAAAAGGAAGTGGGAAAGCTCAAACAAAACTGAAATTAAACCAGTGTTGACCAATCATACAAAGGACACAGTCCTAAACGTTCTCATTTCTAGACTTGACATTCTATTTGAATTTGTTTTGTGTGTACTAGCACACAGGAATTCTCAAAGAAATGATTTCACTTGTTTGAATGTGGTCACCTGGTAGAAAACGGGACCTTTATTACAATCAGGTATATTTTGTAAAGGAAAGATAGGGTCAACTAAATTATTCTTTCATTGAGATTAAAAATTAATCTTTATTTGTAAATCATGAACATAGTCATAAAGAGAACGTACTTACTGAAAATATACCAAAAATATACTCATTTGCACAAATAAAATATACCAGGTTAGTTATTCTAAATGGCTTATATATTTTATTTATTTTAGAGAGTTGGGGGAGAAGGGCTGAGGGACAGAAAGAGAATATTAAGCTGGCTCCCCATGCTCAGCCTGGAACTCGACATGGGTCTCAGTCTCACGGCTCTGGGATCATAAGCTGAGCAGAAACCAAGAATTGGATACTCAAATGACTGACCCACCCAAGTGACCTTAAATAGCTATTTTTGTTATGACTCAACCAGTGGATTTTAGTTGATTAATGGTTTTAGAAAAGTCTATGTAACATGACGCTGACTCTCATTTTTCATATTTCTTTGATAAATCGAGCTGTATAATAATACAATAAGTAAAAACTCCCTGTAGGTTATTTTCAGTCTCCCAGAAACAGTCTGAAATATCATCCAATGTTGGGGCACCTGGGTGGTTCCATCAGTTAAGCACCCCACTTCGGCTTAGGTCATGATCCTGCAGTTCATGAGCTCAAGCCCTACGTTGGGGCTCACTCTCCAGCTCAGAGCCTGGAGCCTGCTTTGGATTCTATGCCTCTCTCTCTGCCCCTCCCATGCTCACACTCTGTCTCTCTCTCCCTCACAATAAACATTAAAAAAATAAATATATCATCCAATGCCAACAGGAATTATAAGCAGCTGCAGAAATGAAGAGTACAGCAAAGAAAGATGATAACATCTATATGACTGTACTACTGAAACCTTTCCCTCCCCCCCTTCCATTTACCAGATTGTCTTCAGAGGTTCCCAAAACACACAGAAAAACATACATTTATTGTTCACTTACTTCATTGCCTTCCAATTCAAAAAACTCAAACTTCATTGAAATTCTGTATTGGGTTGGTGCAACCACTTGCCACACACAGTTCTTGTTAGGAGGGTACTCCTTAGGCCAGCCTGGGGTGGTTATAGTGCCATTAAGTTTGGTGAGAAGTCCGCCACAAGCCGCTAGAAGGAAAGAAAAGGACAAACTTTTCTCCTAATCAAGTCATCCCCTTCTTAGCACTTTTCCATCGATAACCAAACATCTCAGCATTAAATTTCAACCATCTTCCAGATTTTTCAAAGTCTAGAAAGCCTCAGTCTCTGTTCCTTAGTTTTGAGTACAACTATTTTAATTATCTAATTCCATTTATAAGGTGTTAATTTTTAGTTTTGGATCCAAGCAAGCGATGGCTGTATGACAACATTGCAGATCACTTTAAGGTTGGCTACGCAACAGAAGGAAAACTGGGAGTCAGTTCTCTTATCTTTCAAATGGGTAGAATAATATCTACACAATATGGCTGTGAGCAGTAGTGGAAAGATAAGCATAAAGCACAATAAAGGCTGATGTAGTGAGACCAGAATCAGTCGTTTATTTCTTTAAACTCTTTTTCCCCAAGATAAGCAATTCTTGGTGTTACTGAGCTGGCAAGCAGGATAAACTATAGTAAATAGATCATATTTGTTATCTGAAAACCTTGTTTAACAATTATTGTTCTTCCCTTTTGGATGATCTATTTAAAAGAAGTACTATTTAATACCTCACCTCTCTTCCTTATTATTAGTGAAATTAGAAAAATAAGAGTATCCAAAATTGAAAAGAATATATATTGTACAGGTTTAGAATGAACTCCCAGGGAGTTAAGAGTTCCCTAAAGTACCTGTTCTCTTTATTTTAATTGTCTTTGTGTATATATGTGTATGTATGCATGTATGTGTGTATATTTCTACATTTATAAATGTACTGTAAAAGCTACGAGGACTTTCATATTTATCACTTTTCAATAAATTATTATAAAGTAAAATAACTATTTTTAGGCACCACACCGAACTGTCATGTTACTTTATTACTGTTTGGTATACAATTCCCTCTGTTTTTTAAAGATACCACATTGCCTACTGGGTCTATTTTATCTGAGTACAGCGAGCAGATAAGTAGTTTAATAGATAGGATGGAGACTTTTGTCAAAGAGAAAAGTTGAGATTTTTAAGGAGAAATAGGGAGGCTGACTTTTAAAAATAGGTCAGTAAGCAAAGACATCTCCCACCTTTGCTACTATTACCCCTTCTACTGCAGATACAGTAGACAACAAGGTGCTCATTTTAAGAGTTGACATTTACATTTTTGTGGAACCCACCGAAAGTAAACAATAAACACATCATGATAAGAAGTAACGTTAAATTGCTACAAGCTCTATGAAGATGATTTAGGCAGACACCTTGAGAGAGGAATAAAAGAGGAAGTGACCAGAGGAAGGAAGATCAGTCCGTTTACTTTGTAACTCAAGTATGGGGCCTGTAACAGGGTGAAGCAGGAGAGATGGGAAAAAAAGAAGCAGCTTTAAATTCTGAAGGAAGACATCATAGGACATGGTAACAAAACATTGTGCAAGAAACCTCACCTTAGAATGTGCAGAGGAAATGGGGAAAACAGCAAGATCACTTTTTTATGAATCATTTATTAATAAAACACATTTAGCTCCCACTTTATGTCTGTGCTAGATACTAGAGATACAAAAATAATTCAGATCCACAATTCTGCACTTTAACAAAGGTGTACCCATAAAATATGTTAAGAAAAGGTAAAAATAAATGATGGACGGATAAAAATGTAGGTTTAGACAGAGATAAAAAAAAGAAATAGATAGATGGGTGATATAGATAAATAGTGAGAGCAAGAGAGAGAGAGAAGTACAGGTATAAGTAAGGTGGCCTGGTAACCAAAGGAGGAAATGACTGGTTCTATAACAAGAACCCAGGCTAGGAGTCATGTTGGCTATGACTACACACTGAGTCTTACCAGTTGAGGAAAGAGGTTTCTGTAGAGGAAAGGAAAGAGGGAAGCAGAGGGAAAGACAATGAGAGGATACAAACGAAAGAATGAATGGGGTGGTGGTGGGGCTTTGGGGGGTTCAGGCGGGAAGTGCCCTACCTTCACAGCCCCTCTTGTCAGGTCCCAGCTCGTAGCCTGGCTCACACGCGCACTGGTAACTGCCCAGTGTGTTCAGACATCGCTGCTCACAGCCCCCACGGTCAGGTTTGGCGCACTCGTCTTCCTCTGCAAAGATGGCGAGAATTAGAGAACAACTAGATAAAATATTTGGTTTTACATATTAAGGCGTAAAATTTTCTGAAAATATGACACTTAATAACTGAATAAAACTGGGACAACTGATTTCTTCAACAAAGGAGCAGGAGCAATTTGCAAGCCCTTGATAGGCGGCATACCAGAATTCATGTCACTGCAATCTAAGAAGAGTATAAGAACCAAGAGAAGGACTAGAATCTTCTGTCAGGGCCAAGTGGAGATCACCTTATCTCAGATAACTATGTGGGTTTTTTTTTTTTCTGATTTTAAGGTAGAAGTAATTCTTACAACGTATAAAATATCCAGAATAAGATAGAAAAGCTTACTGAAAAAAAATATGGCATCACCTGTTGATTTCATAGTATAATTTGTTAGATATCCTAAGAAGTGCTTTTTTTTTTTTTTAATATTTTTATTTATTTCTAGGAGAGAGAGAGACAGCGTGAGCAGGGAAGGGTCAGAGAGAGAGGGAGTCACAGACCGAAACAGGCTCCAGGCTCTGAGCTGGCAGTCAGCACAGAGCCCGACGCGGGGCTCGAACCCACGAACCGCGAGATCATGACCCAAGCGAAAGTCGGACGCCCAACCGACTAAGCCACCCAGGCGCCCCTCCTAAGAAGTGCTTTTAAAGAAATGCTATTAAGAAACAGTTTATGGTCAATATAAATTAAATATAAATTAAAAAGAAAGAAAATTCAGAAACCTACTGGACCTCTTTAAGGGGCACCTGAGTGACTCAGTCGGGTAAGCATCTGATTTTGGCTCAGGTCTCAAGGTTCATGAATTCTGGCCCCATGTTGGGCTCTGTGCTAACAGCCCAGAGCCTGGAGCCTGCTTTAGATTCTGTGTCTCCATCTCTCTTTCTGCCCCTCCCCAGGTCATGCTACGTCTCTACCTCTCTCTCTCTCTCTCTCTCTCTCAAAAATAAATAAAAATTAAAAATTAAAAAAAAAAAGTCTACCAGACCTCTTTAAATGTAAGGCATTCAGTGTTTTCTATATAAACACACTGATTCAGGAAACATAAAAATTCCATATTTTGTAAATACATATACTATTTTAATTATATGTGAAAATATAAATATATATGAAATATATACACATGAAAAACATACACTATTTAAAATAGCATATATAATAAAGTATTCCATAATCTCAATCTTCAGGAATAACTTCGTGTGAGTTAAGAAAATAAGAAAGAGTATTCTCAGCAGAAACTGCATTGGCCAAAGTCCAAAGCATTTTTGATAACCAAATACAGAAACATCACAGGAGAGAATCTTAATAGTATGTTCCTTCTGCTGTAAAGTACTACATATAGAGAAGAACTAAAGCACGTAAATGTACATTTTAATAAACACTTGATTACATCTAGTGGAAGCACCAAGGCCTTTCAAATCATCTGGCGAATATCAAAGTAATTCTCAGGGAAAATCCATTATATTGTTCTTTAAGTAACCAAAATGTTAAAATGTTTGGTTATTAATCAACTGAATTTTGACTTACACAACTAAATCCATCATTTATTCTATAAAAATCAGTGTAGGGAAAGTTTTGTTTCTCCTCCCATAAAAGAGTTTTATTTTACAATGACACAATGTTAAGTGCCTTGAATTTTCCAAATGCAAATTTGATACTATTTGCACGAAAATGACTTTCTTTTTACCTAAGTAATAGATACCAAGTATGAGACATGAAAACATACTAAAATTTGGTTATGAAAGTTAATATTAAAGCTGATCAATAATAATTCTTTGTCAAAAAAGGCATTTTTGGTATCAGAATATCCTATGGAGGCCATACATTATTTCCATCATGGTAGAATATTATTACCTACAGGATGGTTTAGAAATGCTGTCACTTGGAAAGAAATTGATGAATGACATGTCAGTAAACCACCTTCTGGTTATGAATCCTATTTTTATTATGTTGCAAATGTTTTCTCCTTGTCTGCATTCCCTTTCTGGATTTTGCCATTATGACTATTTCAGAAAAAGCGAATGACAGAATATCCTAATGGATCTCCCAGCCTGTGCTAGAAAGTTCCAAATTCCAGTATCATACCGGTAATCTTTTACTATCAAAAGTCATCCAAATGTCCTTCCCAACAGTGCCTTAAGTATAACTTGCCTTCTTCGCTCTAAGTGAAGTGTCACATTTATTCCTCACAAAGGAAATTTCACCCTTTAAATTACTTCGAATTACCTTTAAAAAAATTGGCAGCAAAGCCGGCCTTGTTCACAGTTCCGTCAGAAACGAATTTCATCCACAAGGCATTGGAGGTAGATCTGATGTCTTCTGGTTTCTCATAACCACAGAAACGCCCTATCAAAGGGCTATTGTCACTGCTTCCGTCTCGAACTTCTAGATAGTCATAGGCACAGCTGTCATGTCTCTCAATCTGCAGTAATAAAAATATGCAAAGATATATCTTTATAACACTTTTTTCAATGTTTACCTATTTATCTTGATGGAGAGAGTGTCTGTCCGTGAGCAGGGACAGGGGCAGAGAGAGGGAGGGAAAGACCATCCCAAGCAGGTTCCTTGCTGTCAGCGAGAGATGGAATTAAGAGCCAAATGCTTAACTGACTGAGCCACCTCGGTGCCCCTGTGAAGACATATCTAATTAATAGACAAAATCATTTCTATACAAAGAGTACAATATTTCCTCAGTGCTAAAGTGCTGACATGGTCACATAACAAATCACTTACAGAGCTTTACTTGGGAGTGTGCACAATATCACCGCCTATGAATAAAGGGCATATTTTTCTGGTAGACAGAGAGAGGTAAAAAAAAAAAAAATCTATGGAAGAATGCATCTACATGCATCCGAATCAATAAAAGTTAACTGGCTCGTAAAAGAAAATAAAAATACAAGTAGAAATCTTTTGGAAAACAAAGCTAAAAAAAATACAGACTGAAAATTATTAACAATCTGGGTCAACTATGCTATAAAGAATGTATAATTTATTCTGAAACATAAAATTGCTGATAGTTTATCAACAACACTGTTATTTTATTCACAGAGAAGCTTGATTCGAATTCTGTTGATAAATATTGCACTGTTTAAGTTTATAAATCTCTTTTTAAAGAAAAATCTGATAATATAAAATTACATTCTTCTTGTCCATGCAATTCTTTACCCATAGTCGGCACAGCTGTAGAGAGACTACTATAGAGTAGAATGATATACTATATATCATGTGTGTATATATCATGATATATACTATATACTAGAATCAGCACTGCCTATCTCTTACTCAAGGTAACATGGCTGTTCAGGTGAGCCTTTTTACCCCAACACACTCCTCTCAAGCCCTGTAATGTATAGGAACTCAATCTCTTTCTTTAAACAACTAAATGGTTGTTTACCACAACCTGAACAGACGAAATTGCTGGTACAGTCGGTTGGAGAATTTAATTGATGATTTGTTAATATGTCAATACATTAAAAATTACAGTCTTCAAATAAGATAGTGTAAGAAAACATAGAATTAAATAGTCTTTGAAGTTCAGATTAAGTCAGAACTAATTACCACATTTGCCGCTTTCCTTTTCTCAGTCACAAATCAAGATTAATTCACTCCTTCAACAATATCCAGTGCCTATTCTATTTTAGGCACTCTTCTCACTGTTTGCTATGCATCCATTTTTTTTCTTTCCAAGATTTTATTTAACTTCAAGTTAGTTAACATATATTGCAGTACTGGTTTCAGGAGTAGAACCCAGTGATTCATCACTTACATATATATATATATAAAACACCCAGGGCTCATTCTAAAAAGTGCCCTCCTTAATACCCATCACCCATTTAGCCCATCCCTCACCCACCTTCCTCCAGCAACCCTCAGTTTGTTCTCTATAGTTAAGAGTCTTTTATGGTTTGCCTTCATCTTTGTTTTTATCTTATTTCATTTTTCCTTCCCTTCTCTTATGTTCACCTGTTTTCCTTCTTAAATTTCACATGAGTAAAATCATATGGTATTTGTTTTTCTCTGGCTGACTTATTTCACTTAGTATAGTATACTCTAGTTCCATCCACATCATTGCAAATGGCAAGACTGTATTCTTTTTTATGGCTGAGTAATATTCCATTGTACATATATACCACATCTTCTTTAGCCATTCATAATTGATGGACATTTGGGCTCTTTTCCTAATTTAACTATTTTTAATAGTGCTGCTATAAACATTGTGGTGTGTGTGTATGTCTTTTAATAAGTATTTTTGTATCCTTTGGATAAATACCTAGTAATACAATTGCTGAATTGCAGGGTAGTTCTATTTTTAAGTTTCTGAGGAAACTCCACACTATTTTTCAAGGTGACTACAAGAATTTACATTCCCACCAACAGTGTAAGAGGGTTCCCCTTTATCTGTATCCTCATCAACATCTATTGTTTCCTGTGTTGTTAAATGTTAGCCATTCTGACCGGTGTGAGGTGATATCTCCTTGTGGTTTTGACTTGTATTTCCCTGATGATGAGTGATGTTGAGCATTTTTCCATATGTCTGTTAGCCATTTGTATGTCTTACAATGAACTATATCATTTACAAATGCACCAAAACCAATAAGATACCTAGAAGTAAACCTAACCAAAGAGGTAAAAGATCTATATTCTGAAAACTACAGAACACTTTTAAAAGAAACTGAAGAAGACACAAAGAAATGGAAAAATATTCCATGCTCATGGACTAAAAGAACAAATTATGTTAAAATGTCTATACTGCCTAAAGAAATCTACACATGCAATGGAATCCCTATCAAAATAACACCAGCATTCTTCACAGAGCTAGAACACACAATCCTAAAATTTGTATGGAACCAGAAAAGACCCTGAATAGCCAAAGCAATCTTGAAAAAGAAAAGCAAAGCTGGAGGCATCACAATCCCAGAATTTAAGCTGTATTACAAAGCTGTAATCATCAAGACAGTATGGTACTGGCACAAAAAACAGACCCATAACTCAATGGAACCGAACAGAGGAGCCAGAAATGGACCCATAACTATATGGTATGCAGCCTTCAGCAAAATAACAAAGAGCCTTACTCTCCTGGACCTTACATATGACTATGGATAGAAAGCAAAGGGATAACAAAGAGGATACATGATTAAATCATAAAATATTAGCAACAAATAAATTTTATGGAAAAATATGCAGTGAAACAAGAGAAGAAGTATAAGAAGTAGCACACACAGGAAAGAGGGTGAGGGGGAGGAAGAGAGGGGGAATCTTAAGCAGATTCCACACCCGGAGCAGAGCCCAACGCGGTGTCTCGATCCCAACACAGGAGGACTCGGTCTCACAATGTGAGATCATGGCCTGAACTGAAATCAAGAGTAAGACACTTAACCACTGAGCCACCCAGGTGCCCCTACTCCTTTCAAAATCAGAGTTCTCTATAAATATGAGAGAACATTTCCAGATACCAAAGGTTTTCTTTTGTCAAAGGAACACACACACGCAAATATCCCCAGCTCTCCAGGCGTAGACTTGATAAACGAATAAACAACAGGAACTAGTGACCAAGTGCAGGGAAAGAACCAAAGGTGTCAGCAAGCCAACCTCTCCTCACCTGCTTGAGCAGAACAGAAAGCATTGCTCCTGACTCCCAAATCATTTTGGAAGAGAAGAGAAAGAATGAATTAGAGGAAGAAAAGACTTGAGAACACACAATAAAGAAAGAACCTGCTTTTCAAAAGTCAATTAAGAAAAATAAGGGGCACCTAGGTGGCTCAGTTGGTTAAGTGTCTGACTTTGGTTTGGGTTCAGGTCATGATCCCACGGTTTGTGAGTTCAGGCCCCACATAGGGCTCTGTGTTGACAGTATGGAGCCTGCTTGGGATTCCCCCTCATTTCCCTCTCTCTCTGCCCCACCCACCTCTCTCTCTCTCTCTCAAAAGTAAGTAAAAATTTAAAAAAAAGAAAAATAAAATTGTTTTTTTTTAACTGCCTTTTAAAATTACTGTATTAACAAGGAAGAAATCAAAATAGACACTGCTGAAAAAGAAGCAAAAAAATTTATATTTCTTCAGTGATTAAAAAGAAACAGGATAATGGATATTTTCCTACACATAAAAGTCACTCTGTTCTTATAACAGATATGTAACAGATCTTTCTAAATTTTAATTTAAAGTACCTGTATATTTAGGTTACTTAGTAATCAAGCAGAGGTTTAAATATTTTATATTATACACAAAGTGCAAATATTTCATGGGTGAAATGCATCAAAATGGCCAATTTTAGGATTACTTCTACCAGTACCTATTTATGAATAATGTATTACTTACATATTAAATATCATGCACTTGGTGTTAGGGCTAACAAAACAGAAATATACACTGTATTCTTAGGAGTATGCCACAGCTGTTCAACTGCTTAGAAAATAAAATGTGCCTCATATATATATTTATGATATTGTCCCTGTACAACAACACTCCTAGATATCTTATCAATGATCTCGATGATCTTTGTTTACATATTTTTCCAGTTTAACTGCCTTAATCCTAATTGCAGTGTGAGCATAATGACTGCCCTATTGGTTTTGGTTATAATTATACCTCTTCAACTACATCTACACAAGAGTAATTGATGGTGAGCATGAATGAAAGTTTGAGTTCTTTTATTTATGTCATTTGTGTAACATTTTCTCCAACCATATACTTCATAAATATACAGAACGGATAGAAATAAATATGATTGAAATTAAAGAGTCGATAAGTGCACTGGTATTATTCCAGTAAGCTCCATGTGAAAAAGAACACCAAAGTCAAAGATTTATAAAAACAAAAAAAGAGGGGTGCCTGGGTGGCTCAGTTGGTTAAGCAACTGACTTCGGCTCTTCATGATTTCGTGGTTCATGAATTCAAGCCCCATGTCAGGCTCTGTGCTGACAGCTCAGATCCTAGAGCCTGCTTCAGATCCTGTGTCTCCCTGTCTCTCTTCTCCTCCCCACCTCATGGTCTGTCTCCTCTCTCAAAAATAAATAAACATTAAAAAAAAAAAGAAAAATATAGTAGTTTCTTCTTGAATTACAGCATGGACACAGTTCATATCTGGAACCTGAATGCAATGTCATGCTTAATTACATGTATAATAAATATGTCTTGAAAATGATGATGCTGATTTATTATAGACGTTAGGATAACCAGAGCATAAACCATATTCAAATGAGGCAAGGTTATCATAATGTAAGCAGACCTCATATGTACACATGGGATACAACAAATGTGATGGTAAGCTCTGAGCAGTTGTTGGAAAACTGTATTTAAATGATATTAGAAGTAGATCCAAACACACAAAAGGAGAGTGAGTACCAAGACTAGCCAGAAAGGGGTTAATATTACATTTGATTACTGTGTGGGTAGCATGTTAGAAAGGAAACATGTAAAAGCCGAG